GAGATATGCTGTGCCATGTGGTCACCTCCAGGTCTGGGGATCCAACTCGCACTAAAGCAGCTGCAGACAGCTTGTAGTGCTGTGTTCTGACCCGTTGTACCACCAGGGAGTGCCTGCCACTGACTGTAAAGATGGGAAACTGTGGGAAAGAGGTTAAAGAACTTGCTCAAGGGCACTCAATGAGAAAAGGAAAACTACGCATCTGCCACCTCTAAGTTATTGCAAACACTAAGCTAAATTATTTCATTTTTGTCCACTGAAATAAAGAAACAGAAACTCAGGAAGCCAGGTAATGTCCTGCGTCACATTACTAAATGATTGTTCTACCCGACTATGTCTTCCGTAATTTACTGTACCCAATTTTGTCCCTGGACATGAAATTATCATGCAGACATCAGGGGGAGAAAGAGGCCCCATGATGGGAAATGGAAATTGGGTCTGTTTGTTTGGAGAAAGACACTTATTTATTTTTATGGGAAAAAATGCTTTCTCAACCTTATCTACCTCTAATTGCTATTCTATTGCTACTCAGTACTTGGTTCAATATTATGGCAGAGCAACTGTTTAATGGGTGGTATTTTCCTTGGAGAAAGAAACTGTTATAAATCCTTTGTTTAATAGGAATGAAAAATGCTGGCAGAACAGCTTGGCTTAGAAACTTCAAGGACCCCAGATACACAGATGAAAAATCCGAACCCCATGTCAAGGAGACTAGAACAAAGAGGATTCTGGCTCTGTTCCAGTGGTAGGTAACACTGAAATTGCCGGCCATGGACACAGAAGGAGCTTCAGAGTGATGACTCAGCCAAGCCCCAAGTTCATGTGAAAGAAAAAAAATACACATTAATGAGAGAAATATCTGAACACTGCCAGAGAGGACAGGAGACCCTGCTGGCCGGCCAGTCGGGACCACACTCTTGTTGGAATGGCTCTACCTATTAGTGGGGATGTCTACAACACACAGACACTTTCTACAAATACATGGAGCAGGTCACATCCCAGAAAACTAGAGGGCCACTCTCAGCCACTCCTACCCATTCCCTGCAACTCTCTACTTTCATGAGCTGGTGACACTTCATTTTAAAAAATGCCAAGCATGCAAAAACATTAAACTAGATCACTGCCTCACTCCAGTCACAAAAATTAACTCGAAGTGTATTAAAGACCTAGACATAAGAACGGAAACCATAAAATACCTAGAAGCAAAGATGGGTCAAACACTACACAACATATACTTCAGCGACATCTTTAAAGACAGAGCACTCAATGCCACAATAGTGAAGGCAAAGATAAATAGATGGGACTACATCAAGTTAAAGAGCTTCTGTACAGCAAAAGAGACATTACAAAAAATAGACAGCCCACTAATTGGGAAAACATTTTCTCACACAAAAGTAGCGATAAAGGACTGATCACAAAAATATACGAGAACTGATGAAACTCAACAAAAAGTAAACAACCCCATCAAAAAATGGGCAGAAGAGCTAAAAAGACACTTCTCCAAAGAGGAAATGCAGATGGCCAACAAACATATGAAAAAATGCTCAACATCACTCATAATAAGGGAGATGCAAATTAAAACCACAATGAGATACCACCTTACCCCAGTGAGAATGGCATATCTTCAAACAACTAGCAACAACAAATGTTGGTGAGGATGTGGGAAAAAAGGAACTCTCCTGCACTGCTGGTGGGAATGCAAACTAGTACAACCACTATGGAAAACTGTTTGGAGGTTCCTCAAACTGCTAAACATGGAGCTTCCCTAGCACCCAGCAATCCCACTCCTAGGTATCTACTCAAAAGACACAAAAACACTGATTGAAAAAGATACCTGCACCCCCATGTTTATTGCTGCTTTATTTACAATTGGAAAAACATGGAAGCAGCCCAGCTTGGCTGAGTCATCACTCTGAAGCTCCTTCTGTGTCCATGGCCCAAAAGTAGATGACTGGATTAAAAAGATGTGGTACATATATACAATGGAATATTACTCAGCAACCAAAAAAAAGAAACACATGTCTTTTGCAGAAACTTGGATGGAGCTGGAAAAGATCATACTTAGTGAGATAAGCCAGAAAGGAAAGAAAAATACCAGATGGTTTCACTCATAACAGGAGTATAATGGACCAGGCGAGAAAATAACAAAAATAATGAACAACCATAGACCAGAGACATTTTGCAGGGGTGGAGTGGGGAATGGGATCAAAAGCGGGAGGGTGGGGAGGGAAGTGCACGGGATTATAGTGATGGCACACGGGTGACATGGTGATGGGAAACCCACGGGGATTACAATTGAAATGGAAAAAAATGTACAAAATGATGTAAAAATAAACTGTTATTAAAAAAAAAGTTAAAAAAAAAATGCCCAAGCATAAGACAATCTTAAAGAGAGGCAGGCTAGGGGTGCCCAGGTAGGGGCGCTTCCATACCCAGTGCCCAGAGCACTAACTTCCGGCAGCATGCCCACCGACTTTCAGGGCTGGCAGGAACCTCTGGGATCTGTCAACCTAAGGTCTTTCTCAAGTCAGTTAAGGAGAAAGTGGGCTGGCAGATGCTCTGAGACCCAGGCCAGATGTCCTTCACCACATCACACCACACCACCACTCTCTGCATTTCCTAAACAATTCCTAAGGCCAAGTGATCATTCCTCTTTAAAAGTGGGTCAACTGTAACACTTTCTTTTAATATATGAAACTTGCTTCATATCAAAATCCACATGACTATAAAAATCTCATCAAAACATCAAAATAGTATGCATTCATGCTATCACGGTAAACACTTCCGATACTTTAAAAGATATTACATCCATAAGGTCTACCATCCCCAGATTTTAAAGCAAACCAGTACTTATCCTTAATATACCCAAAAATATAGACTATTTAGGTATTTATACACAATACAAATATGTCAGTTGATGTTAACATGACTTTAAGTGACAATTTATTTTTTAAAACCAAGCATGCTTGACACTAACAAAAGCTATTCAAAGGGAAAAAATAAATATAAGCATATGGAAATAAATAATAAAACACACAAGTACAATGGAAAATAAATACAACTGCAAGGTGCTATAAAAAATAAGAGTAAAAATCATGACTTCCTGTACACTGTAGGGTGTTATTTTACATGTTGTAGGAATACCAATGAACTTACCCACCACAGGAAATATTCCAACATTATGTAGTCATCAAGGAAAGCGATTCCATCCAAGTGGAAGGAAAGCAATTCAAAAATCAAATAACTATATTCATTTCATTATGAAATTATAGAATTACTCAGAGAACTTTTGTATACAAAAGAGCTTTTGTATTAAAACCAAAAAACAACTTAGAATAAATATGAAATACAATTTCAATAAGAAAACTAGAGTGTTTATATTAATTCAAAGAAATCACTACACAATTATTCAACAGATTTTACTGCTTAGTTACTAAAATAAAGGACAATTAATATTTTTTTGGAAGATGTTATACAATAAAAATAACCCAATTGGTTATAACAAGATAATTAATATTGAATTTGAGGTTTGACATTAAAAAACCAAAAAGTTGAGTTAAAATAAAAGTATATTTCTATATGTGGACAGTTTCTCACCTCGTCGTCCTTCGAATACATCATTGATTTCTCTTAGCAATGTTGACATGTCACTAATTTGGGATTCCCAAGCTTCACAAAAGACATCTAGGTTCTCTTTAGCAATTTTACTGGAAGGATGCAATGTCAATGTTTCAGCAGCAGAAATTATCTAATGAAACACAGTAAGTATACTGAGTTGTAAATTCTAAATCTTAGTTATTGGAACAGTATCAGAGACCAAACTTGTCTGTATATTCAAATCAACTCAACAGTTTTGACGCATTTTCTACCCATAAGTTCCTGTTGAACAAATATAGATAGAACAGAACATACTGCTTGTTATAATCTGGTCTACAGATAAACAGCATGACCTATCAAATACAAATCTTTATTCAGGGAGCAATTATCTTTAGTCAAGGAAAACTGTTTCAGCAAAGTGGTTTCCATAGTGCAATTCAGAGTTCTGTACAGACAACAAAGAGTGTGCTGTGTAGGAGAAGAGGAAGCAGGCGTGCTGGTCTTGGTTGTAACAGTGGCAATGGTGGTGGTGGTGGTAATAGTAGCTATAGTAAAAGTGGCAGCAACAGTAGTGGCAGCAGTAGTAGTAGCAGGCAGTAGTTGTAGTGCGGCTACAGTAGCAGGCAGTGGCATGGTGGTAGCAGGCAGTGGCATGGTGGTAGCAGGCAGTGGTATAGAGGTAGCAGGCAGTGGCAT